ACAAGTGCGGCGGGGGTTGGGGTTGGGCGGGGTATTTGGCGCAGAAACAAGTGCACGTGTAAAGGTGAATGGTGTGTTGAGAGGTGCGTATGCTAATGATTGGTGCGTTCTTCTTCCGCAGCGTTAGTAGCAGAAACGCCACCGCTACTTCAGACAAGAACGGTGACAGGAAAAAATCCTGAAAACAGAAATATAAATAAACGTGGTAAATTTTCCTTGACCTCTACTGACGTTTACGTTTTGCTTTCCATAAGAGGTTTTACATGCGTAAATACCTAGAAAAAACATTTTTTGTTGGTTTCTGTTTAGTTGGAGATGTTTGTATATGTGTTCTGCGAGATGTTCCACCTAGCTTTTTTTTTTGTAGTAGATATATTCTCTTTTTTTCTTGCCATATACGTATGTATATTTTTCTCTCGTTTTTTTAGCAAAAAACAATATCTCTTAACAACAGCCACATACCAGCAATTATTCTCTTTTTTTTACGTTATACAAAGAAGGTCCAAAAGAAGCGGGGTAAAAAAAAGAAAGAATGGATGGCGAAGGATCTGATGTGGCAAAGGAAACAAGCGAAGGAGGGCAAAACCATTCACACACATTTTCTGTGGATGCTGTTCCTTTTGAGCCGGGGCTAAATGCGTCTTCCTCTGTACCAAATAGGTGGCAGGATCCATCGTCTATTGTACCAGAGCAGTTGTCTGCTTGGGCGCCAAACACACCCTGGACCTATCAGGCACCATATTTTGATGCACTTACGTTCAACGCAAATATGAGGGCTATGGTGGAGGCGGCAGCCATGATGAACGTGGGAGCGAAGCGGTACAGCGGAGCTCCCATTGTGAGAGCATCAAGCCCTAGTAAAAAAAATTTAAATGTCTCCGAAGGCGCCAAAAAAAGAGAGAAAGCAGGGATATCAATCCATGCCAAGCCGTGGTCCCCATCGCCTGAAACTGGACTACGTCAGAAGGAGGGAGACGCTTACATCCATCTAAAGAAAGGATGGGTAAGAGTTCCGTATCGGGGTGAAATGGTAATTTCGCCTGTCGCTTTCAAGGAAATAGCTAATGATTTTGTGCACTCTCTCACCGTAAAGCCTATTGAAAAACCGAGAATCCAGTTAGAGCTATACAATTATCACTGCGCGCGATGTGCATCGCATTCTTTTTTTGGTCGTTTATCGTGCAGGGGCGCAGATGTGACTTTAAAGGGCATTGCTGGAGACATTCCCCCACTATGTGTAGCACATTTACTTGAACAGGTTACGGGAAATGTTGTTTGCGCCTTATTTACTGAAGGTGACTATCTCAACTATGAGGTATGGCTAGAGAACCCTGATAAAGCTAATGTTTTTGCCAAGACGATTTCTGATGCAATGTGGACGTGTCCAATGTTTCATGGCTACGCTGTTCACACAAAAACTGAAGATGGTAAGGCCTTTTTGCATGAGTATATATCAAGCCTTAAGGACGATTTCCCAGAAGAAACACCTTACCCCATGCGTTGCGTCGAAGCGATTACTTCATCTACTGGAAAAGTAAAAGGTTAAGTGTAAAACATTTCTATTTTGTTTTTTTTGAGGAATACAGTAGGCAACATGGTCAATGATTTTGTATTTGCTCCTTTTTATTTCTCTAATGTGATTAAATTATATATATATATATATATATTTATATATATATATGATTCCTTCTTTGAAACCTTACATTTTTTTTTCACGTTTTTGTTTTTATTTTTGTTAGTTAGAACATAAAATATGGCATTGGATGCGTTGAGTGACAACTCAAAGGCAGCTGCACAACTAGATGGAAATATAGCGGCGTCTTATACACCAGAAGAACAGTCATTTCACCGACTATTTCCACAGATCCCGTTATCAGAAAAACTAGTAGAGTCGCGTCAATGTGGTTTACTAACAAGGAAAAAAAATTTGTTCGTATGGGGACACTTTATACATCGTCACTTCGTCTATGTTTTAGTTCTTTCTTTTTAAAAGAACCAGTTATGATGCGCTGGGAAGATGTCATTTCACTTGAAAAAAGAACAAACTTCCTTTTTGAGTGTATTGTTGTTAAAACAAACCAAGAAGAAGAATATCTTTTTTCTGGCTTTTTGTTTACAGGAGCCAGCCAGATATTTAAGCTACTTAAGACGCTATGGACAGTTCGCGCACGATACGCATTTGCACAGACATCTGCACCTCAAATACAATCCCCACATACAGTATCAGCTGATCTGGCCCCACTGAAACCTAGTTTCGGATCCTTTTATTCACGTGAAAGATCATCTTATGCAAATGATAAAATTGAGTGGGATAACGAGGATGCAAACTCCTTGAGGTCTTTAGCCTCTTCACCAAAAGCAACTCATCCGGAAATGAAGTTATATACTCCACTTAATGATGCTCAGGCAAGTGACTTTGAGGCTGACGAACTTCCCTTACTGAATCATGATACAGAAGAGGAGGCACAAAGTTTATCGACATCGAATAAATCCTTACCCATTCAAGCTCCATTTTTGGAAATTGCTGAGGATCTGCAATGTTCTCCTAACATTCCCAGATCAGAGATGTTAATCGATTCCTTTCATTGTAGCTATGTAAGTGGTATGCATCGACTTGGGAGACTTTATATTACTACAAAGTACATAGTATTTTCCTCATTGATGATGACGGAATCGCTTCAAATTAGTTTTACAAATGTTAGTAATATAGAGAAGGAGCAAACCATGGTGATCTTGGATGGAATTGTTATTAAAGTTAGTGGTGGTGAAACGTATAGTTTTACAAGTTTTGTTAGCCGTGACGCCGCATTTAATATTCTGACTCATTTTTTTAATGTGACAAAAACGCTTAAGCCCCCCGCACAAATTTTGTCCCGAACTCTCGCCGAAAGTAACACAACTACCGAGTTTACCACCCAAACAAGTGAGCCAGATGTTTCAAAGTTTCCCACCGTTGACACAATTGACGAGTTTTCGAAGGTGTTGACCGATTACGGAACTGCCTTTAGCGATGTTTCATGCTTTACAAAGGAGCTTGTGGCCCCTATTGTGCTACCGGAGGGTAAAACGGTTCTGGACGTGTTCAGGGTTTGCTTTGACGACAATGCCTCTCTCCTGGAGGAGTATCATACGGCGCGAAAGGACACTAACCAAAAGTGGGAACCATGGCGGCTTGCGAAGACGGGCAGCCCTCGCTTTTCTGGTCAAAGATTGTTTACGTGTACGACGATAATTAGGGCGTTGGTTTCCAAGGCGTGTCCATTTACAGAATACCAGCGTTACGCATTTATGAACATTGGGGGCAAGGAGCCAACCTTGGTTGTGCAGCTTTCAGGGCAGGCCGAGGGTGTTATGTTTGCTGACGCGTTCCGTGCGGAGACGTTGCTGATTTTTACTCAGTTAGGTGCAAGCGTTACAATGCGTGCTTTGGGTCA